AAAGGGCGGCCTCGGGCGCCTCGCCCGACTGTGCGCGTGCATCTGCGGCGCCACGTGCCCGCGCTCATTATCCATCAGCGGTGCACTGTGCGTAACAGATGGGCCCGCCTTTGGCCAGTTGCAGGCCATCGCTGGCCCAGTTTGCCTGACTCAGGTAGGCGTATTGAGGCCACAGCCGCTCCGATCGCTAGTGGTCGGCCGACCAATGGGGCCACCGCCCGCTCCGATCGCCAGGGGTCGACCGACCAATGGGGGCACCGCCCGCTCCCATCACCAGCGATCGGCCGACCAAGGGGGGCTCCGCCCGCTCCCATCACCAGGGATCGACCAGTGGTCGGGGCAAAATCGCTGCCCGATTTCCATTCGAAAAAAAATGGAAAATCCGATAAAAAAATGGAAATTTCCACTTAAAAATGGAAAATCCGATTTTTTTTCGAATTCCTGAGCGGCCCATGTTGAAATCGATAATTTTTCCCTTAGGCATTTTTCAGCCCAGGCAACTGCCGATTTTTTTCCCTTAGGCATTTTTCAGCCCAGGTCACTGGCGATCGCAGCGTGGTCTAAGTATAACACAACACAGCTTACCCGAAAAAGTGCTCCGAAAACGTTAATCTACCCCCCCCCCCCCGCGCCGCGCCGCGCGCGGGCGCCGCGGGTTGCGCCCGTGAGCGGACCATATCTGCTCGTCAGATAGCGACATCGGTGTGAATAGGCTGGGTGCTCTGCCACCAGGCAGTGTATACGCAGGCAATTGCGCGCGTAGGGTTGGGTGTCGGGAGCGGTGGTGGTGGTGGTGGGGGTGGGTGGGGGAGTGGTGCGGTCTGGGGGCGTGGGGGGCGGCGCGGGCGCGGGTGGAGCGCGGGGGGAGTGCGCGCGGGGGGTGGGGTGGGAGAGGCGCGGCTCACGAGCGCACCGCTAGACTTTAAACGTTGTACTTCGCGCCCCTCGGGGTTTCGCGCCGAGGTGCCGAGGGCCGCGCGCAGTACGTCGCGCCTCGCGGGGGCTTCGCGCCCAGGCGCTAAGGGCGCCGAGGGCCGCAGCGCTCTACATCGCGCCCCTCGGGGGCTTCGCGCCGAAGCGCCGCGGGCCGCGACGCACCGCTATACAGGGTACTTCGCGCTCCTCGGGGGTTCGCGCCGAGGTGCCGAGGGCCGCGAAGCACCGCTAAACGCTTTACATCGCGCCTTTCGGGGGCTGCGAGCCGAGGCGCCGAGGGCCGCGAAGTACCGCTAGCCGCTCCCGAGTCACGCCCCAAGCCACCCCCGCGCCACCACCAAGCCACCTCCAAGCCACCCCAAGCCACCCCAACCAAGCCACCACCAAGCCACCCCAAAGCCACCCCAAGCCACCCCCACGCCACCCCGAGGCCACCACCAAACCACCACCCCCAGCCACCCCCAAGCCTCCTCCAAGCCACACCGAGCCACCACCAAGCCACCTCCAAACCACCCCCAAGCCCCCCCCCCCCCAAGCTCTTAGGATTTAGGAACCCTGAAGTTTCCTCAGGACTCTTAAGGGACCACTTAGAGCCTGGAACTATTTGGGGCCAATGAATTAGGAAATCTTAGGTTCCTTAAGGCCCCTGTGAATTCTGTTGGAGCTGTCAGGCGCACTTGGGAAGTTTTAGGAGTCGTTGGGGAGCCTTAGGAATCTTCTGGGCCCATCAGGAACCCCTAGGAACATGCAGGAACCGCAGGGACACGTAGGAATTCTTAAGACGTCTCAGGGGCCCAGAGAAGTTTTTAGGACCTTTAAGCTTCCTCAGGAATCCTTTAGACCTTGTTTGGGTCCCCGAGGAATCCTTAACAATCCTGAGGAATGTTTTGGAACTTTTCGGCGTCCATGGTAATCGCTAGGATCTTGGGTGTTCTCAGGCATCATCTGGAACCCGTTGGGCGCCGTTGGATCTTAGAACTTAGAAGCCGTAGGGGTCCGCATAATTTCTGGAGGGCTCCTCAAGATCATGGTGCGCCTTCTATTATAAATAATACTGCTTAGGGTCACCTGAAGCATCCTTCGGACTCTGTGGGTTCCGCATGGATCCTTATATAGAGATAGAAGCCGTAGGACTCCTGCGGGGCTTTTAGGCATCCTTAGGAATCCTTCCAGAGTCTTGGGGGTCTTCAGGACTTCGTAGGAGTTCCTCAAGGTCTTTGGGGATCCTCGGGAATCCGTGGTAGCCCTTAGGAAGCCTTAGGATCCCTTACGGCTACTGACAAATATGAAAAGCGCGTTTGTAATAATTCCCTTGCTCCTTAGGAATCCCATGGGGTCCTCGGTCCTCAGGAGTCTGCACTTCGCTTGAAGAATGAATAGAAATCCTTACGAACCCTTACGGATTCGGGAGGCTTCGACATAATCCTCATGAGGCCCCAGGAAGCTTTCAGGAATCCTTGAAAATCCGATTGGGTCATCAGGGTTCCTTTGTAATATGTAGGAATATGTCAGGATTTTTCAGGGTACCTAAGGAATCCTAAAGGACACTTCGGGATGACAGATGGGCAACGGGCGTTGTGGAAGAGCGCCGCATCTGATCATTCACATATGCGTAAATACGCTGAACGTGCTCTGGTTGGTCGGAGCGACCGAGGGCTCATGTTTGAATTCGAACCGTCCTCAATGCCTAGGTAGGACGTTGACCCCTTTAGGTTTGTTTGTGGGTCTCCTCCTTGTTGCCTTGTGTGACCACCACCTCTGGGCCTCGCCGTCAAGGCGCCTCCCTCTGGCTTTCCCCACCAGAGATCCCCAAACGAGTTGCCAACGGGCGGGAGCCAAGCTTTGAATATGTGGCGCCCTCTATGTCTAGAGCATAGGATGTGGACCCCTTGGAACTTGCTTTGTGGGCCTCCTCATTGGTGCCTTGTGTGGCCCCCACCTGTAGCTGTAGGCCTTGCCGTCAAGGCGCCTCCCTCTTGGTTTCCTCATCATGAGGTCACCTAAGGAGTGTCCAGTGTGCGGGAGCCAAGTTTTGAAAATGAGCCGCCCTCTATGATGTGGACCCCTTGTTTTGTTTGTGGGCTTTTTCTTTGTTGTCTAGTGTGGTCCCACATATGGGCCTTGCCGTCGAGGCTCCTCCCTCTGGGTCCCTCGTCCAAATGCCCCCTAAGTAGTTGCCAGCGGGTGGGGGGCAATATTTGAAGATGTGCCTCCCTCTATGCCCAGGAAGTGGGCCCCACTGTCTCTTCTGTGGGCCTCGTCCTCGTTGCCCTGCGTGACCAAAGTCAGATAGTGAGATCGATAACGACGCAGTGAGAGCGACATTGAGATCGATTGCATAATCGTACCTCGCGCTTCGCGGCCTGAGCCGATGATCGGCGACGCGAGCTCATTCAGCGTTTTGGGTTCTGTTTCCAAGAAACTGTGCCCACGCGCCAACCCGCGCAGCCGTTGGCCATGGCCTGGCGCGGCCAGGATGAGCCACCCGAGCTGTGTAAGTTCGCGGATCCGATGTGGAGGTAGTTACTCCATACCTTGGGAAACGCGAGGGATACTGGAAGTGTCTCGCGTGCGACAAGTGGCTACAGAACGCGCAGCACCTGGTCAACTCTTCTCACTTGGACAAGGCTAAAACGTGGTGCTATGGAACTTCCACTGGCCCCGTTCGCAGGACGGCACGCGCAGGTGATCTGATTTGGGAATCCCGCAGAGTCAATCAGAGATATTGGACTGATTCTCCTCCGACCGACGACGAACCCCCGATCTGGTCAAGTCAGAAATGGCAGCACGAAGGCGGAGGACACCAAGTACAGCATGGAGGCGGCAACGCAGTACAGCAAGGACATCAGGGAAACGCAAGCGGAGTACATCACGGACAGAAAGGACGTGGAGCAGTGCCAGTTTTCCAGATGGGGAAAGGGTCCGACACAGTCGCGTCGCAAGTCGCATTGCCGCCAGGATTGCCGAGCAGTTCAGGTGAGTTGCAAGAGTCACTTCGCTGGTCATTGGCCAACTCCGTGGCGCACCTGAAGACCTTGCAGGAGGACACTTTGATCCCGATGGCCAAGACCATGGAGATGCTGAAGAACACTCACGAGGATGTGGTGGCCCCAGCGATCACAGAAGCGCAGGAACAGCAGGAGGAGATGATGGCCAAGATAATCAACATCGAGACCATGCAGACCAGCATGCGCGAGGAGATGCTGAGCAAGATCATTGGCATCGAGTCAGATATGAAAGAGATGAAGGATAATATTGGCGTCATCGAATCTTTGTTGAACTCACAGTGTCTTCGTGGCCCTCGTCGTCCAGCACCTGGATTGAACAGTTCGTCCAGCACAGGGTCTTTGTTGCCGGCGTCGGTGACCCCGTTTGCGGGCGCCACGCAGCCATTGCCTCAGCAGTAGGTCAGTGTAGTAGTCATGCAGGTATTCTGGAGGTGCATGTGAAGTGTAATCATGATGATGACGATGACGGTTGATGGCGGTGACCCCAGCTCAGCAGTTTTTTTGTGCTCAGCACGTTGCAAACAGCAGCATGCATTGAGCATCTTGCCTGGCCTCATGGCTGGGCCCGTCCATAAGCGGCCAGGTGGGTGTGACAGTCTGCCGATCTTGATTCTGGTGAAAATGTTTGTATCCTGGAGTGACGTCGGTGTAGCAGATATGATCTCTTTGGGTCACTTTTGGGGAGCCTTTGGGTCGTCTTGGACTGGCACGCGGCACGCCCGCAGACATCGCAAGTGTGCTCCCACGTTTCACATTTCAGCTTCAGTTGTTGATCGTCAGACATTTTTGTATCGAGGCGTTCGTGCTGCAGACCCAGCGGTCAGCACAGCTGCACGTGGAGGATCGCCCTTGTACTTCGTTTTACCAGTCACCACCACCGCAACTTCTGCACTGTAACTTGTCACTTGTCAGCCAATGTCCAGGAAGCGTGGCGATCCCTCTGCCATTCTCCAGACGCCTCCTGCGAAAGCTGCCAGGTGCGGTCGAGCGTCATCTGAGGCGTGCTTCTCCGTGGCTACAGCGTCCAATGCAGGGTCGGCCAGAGGCAGCGCCAAGAGTTCTGAGGTGAAGGGCGTCAAGAAGGGCGTCTTGAAACGTAAGCCCGACCAGCCCATGAAGCTTTCACAGGCTTTTCGCGCGGCAGCAAAGCAAGGTATCAAGCTCCTGGGCTCCGTCAAGTGCATGCGCAAGTCCTGCTCCACAACGCCAGACAAGGTCGAGAAGTGGGGCGCTTACGAAGAGAGTAAAGCCAAGGATGGGACCTGGCTCTCGAAACCCACAGGGCCCATCTGCGGAGGCTGCCAAGACCACTGCTGGTTTGGGTGCGAGAACGTAGGTACACCGCAGGAAGTGCTCCAGAAGTGCAACGGTGATAAGGACTTCGACACTGACTTCTCCATTTCGCTTCGCTTGAGGAAGAAACGCCTGCAGCTTTTCTACCCGTCCAACGTGTGCCGCAGTGAGAAGCGTTCCTTCATGGCCATCTCGCGGTATCGAGGTCTCCGCCCAACCGAGTTCGAACGGATCTTCAAGAAATCCCCTGTCGAGGCGGGTCGTAAACTTCAGGACTTGCTTGACCCCCACACGAACGAGAAGTGCAAGGGCGTGCTGCTGAAGGACAGCACGCAGATCGACCCGTCTATTGGCATCGAGTACGAGATGAGCGTTGAAATCGAGACGAGCGAGACAGAGTTCAAGCTCCACCAGTCGCAGCAGCGGCGCCAGGCCCAGGCTCGCGAGTACTTCGATGAGATGAATCGCCCATCAGGCCTCGAGTGCGATGAGGCCAGGAAGCTCCGCATTTGCTCCGACACGTACGAGGATATCAAGGCCCACGTCGAGGCTGGAGGAGTCGAAGTGCCTGCAGCGGAAGATGAGGACCTTGCAGGAGATGATGACCAACAGGATGAGGATGATGCGGTTCCTGGCGCCGCCAAGAGCGAGGCTGGCGGCGAGGGGTCCATCGCGCAGTCGCCTGCGATCAGGGGCTTCTCGAACCAGCTCGTGGTAGACAACGTCACGATTTACACGGTGAAGAAGGTAGCGACGGCGGTCTCAAAGGGCGCACCTTTGCCCCTCAAGTCAAGCATTGGTCGGGATTTGGCATCCTCCCAACCCTCTTCTCCCTCCCCATCCTTCCTCTCCTCCTCCGAGTTATCCTTCTCCTCCTCCTCCACTTGTTCCTTCTCCTCTTCCTGCTGTCACCTCCTCTCATCCTCCTTCTACTCGTTCTCCCCCTTCTAAGTACTACTCTCCTCCTCCTCCTCCACCCCCTGCCTCCTCCTCATTTCCCCGATCAAGCTTCACCTGAGGGGCAATTGGATCGCCCTGAAGGTTCACATGGCGCTTGGCGCCGAGCAGCTGCAGGCGTTTGACGACGCCGCGTCGGAAACTGGTTTAGGACAAAAGGCGGACAGTGCAACCGCGCGGATCGACGGCATCAACCTCACCGTGATTGCAGCAGGTGCAAAGCGTTTCGGGCACAGGCGCGTCAGGATGGAGAAGCTGCGCGACGAGATGTCGAACAGCGACAACAAGAACAAGCGGATTGATGCTGCTCGCTTCACTAAGCGGCTGGAGCTCGCAGATATCGCCGAGGATTGCTCCAAGGTGGAAAACATCATGGCCTGGGAGAAGCAAGTCCTAGAGAAGAAGATTCAAGATTTGGTGGCTGCGGACATGAACTTCCCTGTGGCGTTGGCTGGGAACCTGGTGGCCAGGGAGCTGCGGGAGATCGGCGAGCAGGTCGTCACGGATGGGGTCAACATCGAGGACTTTTGCCGCGTCGGCCTGCCGTGGGACGTCTCGGCGGTGGATGCGGAGGCCCATTGCCAGTCTAGTCACTAGTCGCCCAGTCTTGCGTTGGAAGAGGAGGAAGAAGATGATGACGAGGAGGAGGACCAGGGTGACCAGAGAACGAGGAGAGGGGGAGGTGGAGGAGGATGCAGGGGAGGAGCAGAATGAGGAGGAGGAGGAGGATGTGGAGGAGGGAGGAGAGCGAGGAGGAGGTGCGCCTGCCGTTGTCAACTGTCATTGGCCGTGGTCGTCATCAGGCCGACGACGTGGAGGACCAGCCCATCGACCAAGACTCGGAGTTCAACCCTCTGCACCCTATGGCATTCATGATCCCGTCCGAGGCGGGAGTCGTTACTACGAACTTCGAGAAGTGGTGTTTCACTTATTTCATCGCGCCGATTGCGCGTGCCACCGACAACAACACCCAGCAGAAGATGATGGACATTCTTGCAGAAGGAGAAAAGCACATGTTGAACCAGCCCTCAGATACCGATGAGGCTATCGTGAACTCTATTTCTGAAGTGGTGAAACCTTCGCGCGCGATTCGGGGCCTCTTGGCCCCACAGAATGCAATGCTGGCCAAGGCGCTTGAGGCAGTCTCGGCGGCCACGGCAACAGATACTTCAGGAGGAACTTGGCAGGGCGTCACCTACAACGCCTGGGCTCTGCTGAAGGACCTGCCGTACTTCAAAGTTTACATCGTCTCTTTCCGTATGACCAGGGCCACGCACACTGACAGCGCGTTGAAGATGGCAGAGCACCTGGACAATATCAACTTGTGCCCCACCGAAGTCGGCAAGGTCGAGGGGCGCGCGAGGGCCTTGGCGGATTTCTCCACCATCAAGAAAAACACGCGCGCAGGAGATTCGGCCTGTCCATGGGGGGCTCAGTCAGTAGGGTCGTAAGGGAACTTTGGGCCTGATTCGTCTAGCGTTCGGTGCCTGCTCAGCCTCTTGTGAGTCCAGAGACCCCAGCAAGTCCAGCTCTTGGAAATTCCAGGGGTACCAGCAAATCCAGTCTTATGAGCTTCGCAGTTCCATGTAAAGCTTTTGGGTGCTCCAACGCCATAACATTGCATCGTCTGGCCTAGCCCAGCGCATGGGGGCTTTTTCGGTAAGAGTGAGCGCGTTTTCGTTTCTTGATGTGCGCCTTTGGTCCCCTCCTGTTCTTTGTGGTGTATGTTTTTGATTTGAGGTTATCTTGCAGCCCAGCAAACGGGGTCCCACATTGTCCAAAACGAAGCAATGGACGGATGAGGGGGTGACAGATTGGGTTTTGGAAGGCAGCGTAATCGCAGAGCCCCCATACAGCCTCAGAGTTCCCATGGGACGGACCGTGGAGGGACTGTGTCTCAGTGGGAGTCTACGTTGTCCAGCATTGCCGACCGAGGGGCGCAACTTCTGAGCAGCGTGCAGAAGGGCGAGTCGCAGGAGTACAACCTCAACAGCGTCCCATCTTTGCAGGGCACGATGCACGTCGTGGATACTTACAGGCTGTTCTTCGATGCCTTGCGGAAATCGGGGTTGAAGATGACGGCGTCTTGGGATGCAGCCGCAGAGATGACGCGCGATATTGGGGCACGCGCTGGCGCAGCGATGTCCCGTGAGATATTGAAGCCGTTCATGAACAAGGTAAAGGGTAGTGATATTGTCAACGATGAGGAGAAGCTCGACGAGTTGGTGGCGAAACTGCTACCCGTTCTCACGTCCTCCGACGTGTCCTACCTCTACAGCGAAGAGCTCTCCAAAGATGTCAAGCGTGTCATCCAAGAGACCATCAGCGCCGTTACGTTCGAGGTGAAGCCAGGTACTATGACGTGCAAGGAGGCCCAGTTACCCTCGGTGATTGACAAGCTGTCGGAGTTCGTACCGAAGAGCGGCGAGGAGAAGGCAGAGTTGCACTGGGTATCTAGGTTTGTCGATGATATGGTGCAGTTGGTATCCAAGAAGGCGGGGATCACCGACGCGGGTGGTAACGTGGCGGACAGGATGAAGGACGACCGCTGCCAGGAGCTACTTCAGTCCGTCGCAGGAATGGCCAAAACATTGACGGCATGGAAGGTAAAGGTTGGGAGCCAAAGCGGAGTCAGTCTGCCTGCTGTTAGCGATAAGCACCTCGAGGACACGAAGCAGTTCGTGGCTGACCATGCACCGTGCTTGTACAACTCCATGAAGGAGACGATTGCTACGTTTGTCGGCGCCCCGTACGACAAGGACTCGCCGCCCTCGGAGAGTGTCAAAATGGTGGCTCGTGGTATCCTGCTGGAGCCCAGCCACGAGAAGTGGAGTGACGCACTCAAGACGGGCACCGTCGAGGAGATCATCGCCATTGCGAAGAAGTCGCTCATGGTACTTAAGGTGGACTCATACAACAAGGCGTGCGCTGAGTTGGGTGCGAAGTTGCAGACATTGAAGTTCACTCGCGAGTACTACGACATCCAGGTTGACGACGCGCTCGAGACGGATTACACGAAGCTCTGCGATGGCATGCAGCTCACTTGCAGAGAGCGCGTGCTGGCGGCGCTGCTCGTCAAGTACCACGGCCAGGACACGAAGCTCAAGACCGCGCTCAACAGGGGGAAGGGCGCCCTCAAGAAGAGCAAGCATTGGGAGCTGGTCGATCCCAAGCTGCAGGCGGTTGTGGATAAAGCGATTGCACTCTTGCTCTAAGCCACGCGATGACAATGGCGAGAAGTTTGGTGTCGCCCACCTCGTTCCTGTCGAGGTGGGCTCGGTGGCGAAAAATATGACAAACGTCATGGTCGCAACCACCATGACTCATCCCAACACGAGATGGCCACCGCCATCATCACACAATCACGCTCATCATCATCACCACCCACCGCCATTCACCATTCACCATCACAACATCATCATTGCCATCGCCATCACAACCACACAACCATCACCTCACCATCACACTTATCATTCATCATCACCACCACCAGCACCACCATCACAATCATCATCTCATCACCATCACCACGCGCACCACCTTCATGTTCATCACCACCATCACACCGCCACCGCTCCCTCCCTCCCATCCCTCCCTCCCTCCCTCCTCATCCCCCCGTCCCTGCGTAGGTAGATCAAAGGCGTGTCTTGGGTTAGTTAGTTTACGTATGTAATGGCTAGGGGGTCTGTATGTCTTGGTCTCTGCACGTTTTGGGTTAGGTGTGTATGTCTTGGCATCTCAAGGCAGTCTTGGTGTCATATTGGGGCTCTTGGCTTGGCGCAATCTTGGGCAACTTTGGGCTAGGTATGTATGTATTGGGTTATACGTAAGCTTTAGGCACTCAGGGGCAGTCTTAAGGCGTCTTGGGGCCCGTATGGGCGTCTTGGGGCCTCTATGGACATCTGTGGCATTCACCCGAGGCTTCCGCTTGCCGCCTGTTTGATCTCAAAGGGTTGGAGGGGTCCGCGAATGGGGGCCCCCACGGGCGGGGGCGAAGGTCACGACCCCTCCCCCCCTTCCAGCCCCAAAGGCTGGGAGGGGGTGCTAGGGTGGTGACTGCCCGTCCTAACCCCTTGTTCGCGGGCGAATGGGGGCTCCCACGGGCGGGGGCGAAGGTCACGACCTTTCTCCCCTCGAGCCCAAGTGGCTTGGGGGGTGCTAAGGTGGTGACTGCCCGTCCTAACCCCTTGTTCGCCTAGACCCCGTGATCCGCGTGAGGGGTGCGCCTGTCTTGGGTATTATTTGAGCTCCTTGGGGGCGTCTTGGGCACGCTGGGCTCCTGCTGTGCCCGCTTGGTTTGCCGTGCTGGTTTGCCCTGCTGCTCTGCAATGCTGGTCTGCCGTGTCGGTCTGCTGCTTTGGGTTGCCATGTTGGTCTGCTTTGTTGGTCTGCCCTGTTGGTCTGCCGTGCTGGTCTGCTCTGCCGTGCGGGTCCATTGGGGTCCTCGGCCTTCCAGGGCCCATGGGGCCTCTGTGCCAGAGCCCAGTCCCTGTTCGCTTAGACCCCGTGATCCGCGTGAGGGGCGTGCCTTTTTGGGATATTTCTTGGCATCCTGTATAGGGCCAAGTATTGGCTCCTTCCCTCCTCCTCCTTCTCTTCCGATGCCTTGGCTCAAAGGGTTTATCTGATTATCTGCGCGCCCCCCACGCAGCCACATGCGGCATAGTGGGGGCGTCTGCGTTGGTGCTGGGTTGCAGCTGTTTGGGCCGCGAAGTGGGCTTGCTGCAACTAAACGGGTCCACGCTGGGCCACGCCGTGGGCCCTGATTCAGTAGACTTAATCGGCGCTCGGCCGCGCCGTGGGCTCTGCCACGGCAGAGGGTCCCACCTTTGCCTGCGCCCCCCCAATCCCCTGCTCCAAGGCAGGGCCTGGGGCGCGTGGCTGATATCGCGGGGCAAAGGGCCGCGGCCCGTGCCCCGCTGCAACTTAGCGCGTGGCCGCTGGGCCAAGCCGTGGGCCGTGTAACGGCCGAATTGGCCGACGACCATCATCATCCACCAATCTTTCATCATAAAATGGGGGGGGGGGGGGAGGGCAGGCCGCTGAGCGCGAGAAGTTCCACTTCATTCAGCTCCGATGGACAGCCTCCCGACGTTCGAGATGCCTCTCGGCGTCTCCGCTCAGGGAGGGCGCTCTGCTGAGCTGGCTGCCCTCTTTCTCTTGTCTATATGCTCTTTCTCTTCCTGCTCCCTGTCTCTCTCTGCAGCCGTCGCCGCGAAGAGTGGCCCGCCCGCGCAGGCAGGGCTCTTCGGTCACCTGTCGCCACTGCGCTGCCCTTTAACCTGCCCTCCCCCATCCCTCCCCCTCCCACTCCTTGGGGAACCCCGTCGCCTTGTTGGTCAAGGCGATTGGTCTCCCGCCGCTGGCTCGAACGTAAAGAATGCACGCGCGGGGGGCCCCGCGGCGACCCGATGCGGTCCGACCGCAAGTGCGGGATCCGCACGTGAAGCACCGATCTGTTGGATTGCGACCTTGTGGGTCGCATCTTGGCAATGCCTCCTGGCGCTTCGGCGCCCCGCCGAACGCGCCTGGGCTTGTCCTCAACGCGATAGCGCCGCCTC